CTTAAATAAAATTGAATCATAAGTAAAAAAAAGCAGTAAAAAGAATAAAACCCGTGTGCATGCCTACATGTACATGTGCACGCACATGCAGAAACACTGATGGACCAGGATGGAGCTCTCAAATATTGTTATAGTTTGGAAAATCTATAGAACAACTTTCTCATTTAATTATATCAATGTCTTCCCCAAGGGAAGACATTAAAGCTCAGTTATACTCTTCTTTAACAACTGTTAAATACCTTAGAAGAATAATGCTGAAACATCCCTTTATTTTCCAGCTTAGGTCTCCTGTTAACAACACCTAGGACATCAAGACAGACTAATAAAAGTACTTCTAAAACTAATAGGATGCCATAAGAGCAATATTAAGAAAATGTATGTTCTTGTCTAACCATTGCTTTGAACCAAGGGGGTGTAATTCTGCTGTTGAGAACTAGGCAGTTCTCTGCCTTACCAGGACACATTTACAATTCTAGGTTGGTGTCAGGCTTATTCCCCTTCCCCGAAGTCAGATTTCCAATTCAGCCTTGCCCTGAAGTCTCTGTACTCTCCATCTGTAAACCCAGTCTCTGCTTGGCACAAGAGAGATATAAGTGACTTGCAATCAATCAGTTCAAATCAATGAGGATATTACTTTATATCACAGAATATGGCTGGGTTGAGAGACTATGAACAACAACATCAAAACAAGAAATGAAAGGAACATGCCTGGGGGGACTGGGAAAACCACAGCATCCGAATTTTGCCCAGGACAATCCTGTGCAAATGTAAGGAAGAAAACAAAGCAGCCCTGGCACTAATGGTTACCTACCTCAGTGAGAGAAAAGAGAAGTGCAGATTTATTTGCACATTTGTGAAACAGTTTGAGACTCCTGGGTGGCAAAGACTAGGAATAGTTTAATATTACTATTAATATTTTGGTGTTTCAATGGGGCACTAGCCCTTCCATGAACCTCCCAAAGAACAGGTTGAGCAAAAGGCAAGTGACACCTTAAAGGTCACTGACGCTGCATGCTGCACCCGGCAGACAAGTGCTGCTCTCCCGATGCTGATACAGCCTGGCAGACACCAAAGTTAATGACGATGCAAGTGGCACTAAAAGCCAATGCAGGGCCAAGGCCGGCGCTGCCCGCATGGGGAACGTGGAAGCCACGTGGCAGCTTACAGAAACCTGGTTATTGCAGGAGGCAAAACTGGGGCACTGTGACACCGTTAAAACACTCTGCAGCCCTTGGTGATTTGCTTCCCCATGCAGTGCGAGGCCTTCTTTGGACTGTATCTATTTTCATCGTAAAGAAAGAAACATCTAATACTGCAGATAAGATCCAAGGACACCGCAGCAGGCAGCCATTCGCAATTGATTTTCTTGGTTCCTTACACTCAGTGCTGCTCCACTGGCAGGTACTGATACAAGCTAAAAAATGTTCTTGGAACTGATCCTCAGACCTCTCACCAGAATAAATCCAAATGCTAACGGGGCCACTATTTCACTATTTTGTAAAGGCCCCTAGGAAGCTGAGAGCCTGCCCTACACCAGCCAGCTGCTCAATAAGGCGGGGAGGGAGAGGCCGAGCAGCCACCTCGGCTCGCCTGCTCCTTCCGCGCCAGTCTGGCCTTGCTGCTCAACAGATTTCTTTTTCTGCCACTTTCCCAGCTAAAATTTTGGAAAGCTAATGTAACACAGACCATCATGCAAAGACTTAAGCTGCAAAATATCTTCTGACAAAAGTTTCAGTTATGACTAGTTGTGGAAGACTAGGCAAAGAACACATACAATAAACCAATACACAACCCACATGCTTTCAAAATGTCACAGCTAAAGAACAACACTAAAAATATTGTTTCAGGATTTTTATTCTAATGGTCACAAGAATATGTTGAATTTCAAAATAAATATGGATCAAAGAGTATGTGTTCATTAGTTATACATTAGTTATGCTTGTGTTCCATCTTTTGAAGAGCAAAGCTTGGACGTTTCTGTGATCACAGGACCAGCAAGTTATACTCAAGAACAGCAAAAGCAATGAGATCTTATTTAAAAATGTAGTATAGAATATATTAGTAGTATAGACTATATTAGCAGCATGTGCTTATGTGGCTGTCTTGCATCAAGATAAAGAGAGAGAATAATGCTGCTGGGGAATTGTGTGCACAAAGGTCTGTGAAGCAAGAATTAAAATGAATGAGATTAAATAGAAAATAACTACATCAGGAATATGTTAATAATTTAATTAAAACCTACCAAAGTTGAAATATTCCACCATTAAGGTTGAAGCCCCTCAACATGCTTTATCTGCCTGGGGATTCTGACATATATAAAATTGCCTATTTGGAAGCACTTCCGAATATATGAGAGAAAATGAGGTCAACTAAGAAAGTGGTACGATTGCTAACTTAGAAGATGTTGGACTTCACCGTTTTCTCAGACAGGCTCTTACTGATGTTTTAAACATTTTTCCCTTATTGCAATCTTATTTCTAGTGCATAAGACACAGTGAGTATTGATCCTTTTGAGAACGCGGATGAGATTTAGTGTTCTTTTCTTCCCAGAGCTTGTTTGCTATGTTTTCATCTTTATGCAACTTCCAAGTCAAACAGGAACAGAGAACAAAAACCTTACTTGACAGGACAGCAAGCAGCAGCACAATGGTCATGACCGTGAAGGACTTCATGAGAAGACTAGTTTGACACATTAAGGAAATAGTTATACAGACTTCAATAGATCTACCCTACTGTTCTTCTACATGACCCTATAACATTATATCCAATTCAAAGAAATATATAAAAATAAACACAGTTTTCTGGACTGGCAGATATTGTTGACTACATTAAGCAGAGTCAACATCTTTCCCATATGGTACCACATCTTACGTTGCGTATCTTACAAAGAATGAACAAAATAGAGAAAATATCGCTAATTGACTTCTGTGACTGAACCCACCACATGCAACTTTGCCTTCCATAAACCCATCTCAGTCTGATGTCCAAAAATGTGTTTGAGAAGAAATGACCATTAAAAGCTGCATTACATCAGTAGTTTATGTTAACACTCTCAAGAAAAGAAACGGGCAGAGATGTGTCAGGACCAGTTTGGTCCAGCATCTAGACTGCTATTTGAGATTACTCTTTACCTGTTCTTAGCAGAAAAATTAGCTCTTCACATAAACCTAAAAAGGCAATTAAAGTGGGTAGAACTTACATTTTTGCCATTGAAGATCTTGGATTTTGTCCTTCGTGGTCCGTGTGTCCTCGTAAAGGCTGTTCCGGGTCTCCCTTCAGTCCCTCCCTGCGGGTCAGAAGGGAGACACGATGATTCCTTCATTACCAGGGCTCTTTATCTGCCCTTACAAAGGGAATTTTGGTTTTAAAACAGTCAACACAAGCACTGCATTTTTATGAGCGCAAAAATTAGAAAGACAAATGTTACTACTGTTCATGAATTTGCCTCTTTTCATTTCCCACATTTGCTCTACAGAGAGTTATTTGAGTCATATTAGGGGTTATTTGAGTCACTTTTACCTTGAGAGAAAAAATAATGGTAACCTAATTTGAGGTTTGGACCAATTTGAGTAAGAAAATGGATTCTGAATATTTTGCACCGTTGCTAAATTTAACTGAGTGTTCAGTGAAGCGTGAGCTTCCAAATGTGAGTAAGAGGCTTTTAATCATTTTCCCTTATTTGTTTTTAAATTACAATTGTTAGATTAGCAATTTTATGTCATTCATATGCAGTGTACTGAAACTGAAATCAATAAACTGACCTTCTTCCACCCAATAAACTAAATTGGGTACGTATTTAATTACTACAGAAGCCAAGTCAAGCAGAAAACTAAGGAGCATTTATAAGATTACTGTGTTTTATCTCAAATGAATAGTAATATTTGTGTTTATTGCTTTTCATAAGTAATTTATTGCTGCTTATTTTAAATTGGAATAAACAAAAAAAGAACATCTGTATCAAAGTTAAAAACCCCCACAACAATCGCAAAACTATTTAATCTCATCCATTTAGTTCTATTGCACAGTCTGTGCAGTGTAACTTTTTACAACATACTATGCAACAAAATAGGTCATTTAAACTCAGTAATTAGTATTACAGATAAAACGACACTGCAGCAATGTTCATTACTATACTACTGATGCAGTATAGGATATAATGCATAACAGTCATGTCTTTAATTTTAAACTGAAGTGCAACTAAGCATATTATTTGTACACTTCCTCTTCTTAAAGTAAATTAATGTTATTCAAGTGTGCCATTTGTAACCATGCAGAATGTTTTTACACCAACCACAATTCTATTTTTAACTCAAACTGGCATATTTCTCTTTATAATGACACAAATTTAGGACTCTCTTACTATATAGGAGCTTTTCCTATGACAGTGGGAAAATATGATAAAATTATAATCTATATGGAAAAAAATCCACCTTTGTTTTCTTTTTCATTATAGCAACTGCTATAAATCAGTTTTATCAGTTTTACCAGAAGCTCCAGTAGTAGAAGGGATTCCTATTTATGAATAATTATCTGTCTGCTTTTGCAGCACCTTCATTTCTGGATAACTTCATTATAAATATTACAAGAAGGAAAAAAGTTAAATCTGAGGTTTGTTAAAGCATAGTTAAATAATTTATGCTAGCTGAAATGTTCTCATTTTCAGTGCAGAAATTTTGTAATGAGGCCATTATTCAACACTTGCATAAAGAATATTCTAAAGGCTGACTTATTTAGAAGTATAGTAATTCCTTTCATTGTGTTAACCATGTGCCTCTGGCTAAGATATGTACATACAAATTTAGCAAATATCTGAATATAAAGTATAAAATTCAAAGCAGAATTTGAAGTATAACCTCAGGTTGTGTATTCCATCTCACAAGGAGATGCATCGCTGTGTTTAAATGAAGGTATATAAGGAGTAAAAGCTTGAGGTGCGTATAACCTGTTTCTAGGACTTAAAAATGATTTTGAAATAAACATTTTCTCCCCATTCTGTTTAGGTCAGCGGGACAATGTATAACACAGGGAGACATGTTTCTCTACGACTAGACAAAGAGCATTTGGTTAACATCTCCGGAGGGCCGATGACTTACAGCCACCGCTTAGAAGAAATCCGGCTACACTTTGGAAGTGAAGACAGCCAGGGATCCGAGCACCTCCTCAATGGACAGGCCTTCTCTGGGGAGGTAGGTCCACATGTTTGGATTTCCAAATTAACCAATAGAAAAAAATCACTTTCCATTTCTGCCTGAAGGTTTTGCAAACTAATTCGTACTCATAAAAATTGTTTTCCTTTATCTATTCTGAAGAGCCTGAAACTCCTTTCTGCATTGCTAAACATAAGTGTATGACACACCTGAGAATGAAACCACCACACTTACTGTATGGCACAGGCAGACACCGCGCCTTCACACTTGAGCTACTTAAAAAGTGAGCAAGGACCATACGAGTGGTCTTTTACACACTCAGTAAACACAAATACAAGATTAACCTCAAAGTAATATTGAAGGTTATTATAGTTCTCTAGTTCTTATAAAGGTGCTATATTTATTGCTCATTCCTAATGCCTCCCACTGTTCATCATACTGCCTCACGCTAAGGCGAGCTGAAACTTTAGAGATGGTTCCACAGAAGTCTAATGGCTGCTCAAGTAATAAATGCTAGAAGCAAAACCCCATAGGATCACTGCCTGTTGCGTATTTTTACATACAACATTTATAATCATGCTAGAAAAGACCAAAATTTAATTATCTTGATGTCTACTGTGGGACTGCCCGCTACTTTTGCTGGATAAAGACCACAGCCTCATAGATATTAGAATATTTTTTCTAGACTTCCTGGTAGGCAAAGCAGAATCTTTCCATTCTTTTTACACAGAACCATTTGTATGTAGAAGGGAGGCCTGAGTTTTCATCCTCCCCACCCTCCATTAGCTTGTGTCACATCTGTGAGTCATCTAGTACACTCCACAAATCTTAACAAATGTAATAATGTTGCTGAAGAACCATATATTACTGTGGGGGCTATTTTTAAGATACTCTAGGTATCTTGTTACTATTGTTTTAGAACACCAAAACAAATAGTTTTCTGTAACAAAGCACTTCTTTATTTTGCTGGGGATGAATAATCACATTACCATCTGTACCATCTATCAGAGACTCTGCTGATGACTCAGTTAATGCATGGCATTTTCTTTGGCTTTGTGCAATAACAGTTATCAAAGACTAGCAAATTAATTGCAGAGTTGTCAAATGATGTTACTATAATTGACGGTAATCATTTGCTTTGTTTTATAAGCTGCATAGATGTATAATATAGCCAGTGGCAGCTTTTTCATGAAATTATTCATGTCTTATGCAACTGACATCTGCTTGCACTGCTTAAATTCTGTGCTAAGTGAACATACGACATGTTACTCCTTTAACGGAGGAAAGTTAAGCGTGCTTTAATAAATAAGGTCTTTGCTTTCCTAATCAGATTTACAAAAGAGCAACAGTCAATAGAGTTAAGTTCCAATTAGGTCAAGTAGTAGTTACTGGTGGGAACCTGTGTGTGTACAGTTCGGCTTCCTCATGCAGCCCCAACTGGTTCCAAAGCACAAGCACAGAGTCCAGCCCGCCACGCTGAGCGGCATGGGACAACTTCTCAGCCAAGGACAACAGCTGACGTGGCCCTGGGGTAAAGAGCCACCCCCAGACATGCTGTCCTTCGAAATAAGTGACTTTCGATACGTTCTGAGCACTGCAAGATATAAAGTTTACAGCTCCTAGCAGCTATAATAAGAAAACCACAGACAACTTAACTGGCTTTATGATCGAGTACATGACTTTATAAGGCAACATAATGCTTTAAAGAGTGTTGCTGCTTGTTGCTGTTACTTCAGTACTGGGTAAAGATGTCAAGGGAGATGGGATAAAGAAAAATAAAATACCACCATATACTTATTTGTGCTCAGGGAAGTTTGGGATTATATTCAGATTTCATTAACATTAGCAGAGCTAAACCTGTGTTGGCAAAGCTGGGAAAGATTTACACTCATTCTCAAGGCTACAAAAATCATGACAGACATGGACTTGACTTGCAGAGCTGCTCCTCATTTTTTTTGTGTGTTTTACACTAACAGTAGGCTAAGACTTCATTGTCAAGGCATGGAAGTCCCTTTATCAACTTTGCCTTGTTTTCCTCAGGAAATTATACCAAGAAAAGTACTCTAGCTAATATAATCTGGATTTTTTTAAGAAGTACATTCTAACAGAATTGCTTAGATTCACCTTCACTCATCAAAATAAAAATGCAATCATAGTATAGTCCAGCACAGCTGTTAGCAACAGAGAAACCCCTTCCAGGACTACACCGATGGCTAATGGTTTGCTGCAGCCCACAACACTGCATTAATAATGCTGCTCTTACTGGTGTTAGATAAACCAGCAAGGGGGTTAGTGAGTCGTCTGTTCTGCTGTGAAAACAATTCCCAAGCCTGAGGCTCCCCAGTAAGGGTGACCCATTCCAGTAGATTCCACTCATTCCCACTCCACTCCTCTGCCCTCCCATCCATTTCTGCCCTCTCTTTTACTGTGGTCTCCAATGTATTTTAGAGCCAACACAGTGCAGACAAGAGGATGCAGGGGAAGCAGGAAGAGAGGACAATCCTTTTCCTGCACAGCACAAGCAACTCATTACATCAGTTCAAACAGACCTAAATTAAATTTTCATGCAAGCAGGGCAGTTGTTAAAACAGCCCTAAAGTATCGTACATCAGCTACAGCATTCTTTACACACCTGGAAATCCAACCTGACACCTGCACTAAGCAAGAGCTGTGTTCTCAGGATCCCCTTTCAGTGAGTGGGTGGATATTCAGAGCAAGGCAGAGAGCACCACAGCATGAATAAACAAGTGGGGAAGAGCAAACCGTTTCAAAATGGCTATGGCTGAGTAATACTGAGACTTGTAATTTCCAGCCTTTAGCATTTAACTAGGTGTTAAAGTCTGTCAAGAGAGCGCTCTACAATAATCTAGTTAGTTTTTAGCTCCTAATTATCACTTTAGTAGCCAGAATAACTGAGAACTAATGCTTGAAAAGTCTGAATGTAAGGGCTTTGCAAGTATGTATCAGATTATTTTGTCATCAATATGGTTGGCACTGTTAACATGGGAAAAAAAGGAAGGATTTAGAATGTTTAAATAAATAAATGAAGCCTTTGCTTGTCCCTCTGATACGTACTTGAGTATGTCCAATTCTCCACTCTTTGCATAAATATCGTATTGCATTATGATGATTAAATAAAATCTTGGATCAAGCAAAGCCCCCAACGAAGACACCAATCATTTGTGTCTGTTACTTAATGTCTTTAAGCAAAACGTTTTCTAAGACCTCGGAGTCTGTATCATTTAAGGAAAAGCGTTGTCTTCCTGCAAACAGAAGCAGCATAAAATACAGTGGCTCCATCCACCTGTTAAAATAAAGGCACCTGAGCCTCCAAAAGGCTCATGCTGAAAACGGGGCCCTTTATCTTTGCCATGTAGTAAAGCCATAAAAATCTGTACTTAAAAAAAAAAAAAATGAAAAAAATGAAAAACCTGATGCAGCAGAGCCTCCAACCTGCTTTTTGGCTGGGCATTGCAGTAGCCTCATATATACAGAGGCAGAAAACCATGGAGCTCAAATATTTGGAGTTTCCTTTTCACAGCCTCAAAGGCTGCCCTCTCACACAGGAGCTATAGTCCAGAAGGTAGAAAAAGATGCTGAAGTCTCTGCTCACTCAAGTGGCCCTTCAAAAACCCATTGACAGATGATAAAAACACACAATCATTTCCTCCTCTACATATGAAATATAATGAAAGCTGGAATGGTATCTACATAAAGGAACACATATTGCAAGCTATGCACACAGCTTGAAACTCATATTTATTTTGGCTACCACTAAAACGTGCAAAGAAAATCGAATAAAATAAAAGAAATTTGGGGAGATGAAGGCCTTGAAAATTCTGAAATAGCAGCCTTCTCCCCGCTGTGGAACCCTCTCTAGCTGCAGACATGCTCTGTGTGAGCAGGGACCTTGTAGCGATAGTAAAGGATTACTTATCAGAGATCAGTGCTGCAAATCCAGCTTCTGGTATTTTTAGAAGGCAGACGATCAGATATACAGCCTATGAGAAACATCAGGTCGACCAGAGTAATTTAATCCAGTCTGCTGAAGAATTAGAAAAACAAGACTATTCCGAATTTTCAAATTGGAAATGACAACTGTGTCACTGAGACCTCCTGTACACTTAGGATGGTTGTGTGGTCTGAACAGGCCCTGAATAGGTCTGTTTTCTGCACAGAGGCTCCTGCATTTGCCTGTATTTCGGATCCTCTCCCAGGTCAGTTTTGCTGTTTTGGTCCCTATGTGAGGATTGTCAGTGAGATTTTGGATTCTAGCCTAGCTCATCACCTAAAACACGGCAGCCCACAGTCCATTCTTTCAATAAGAATGAACTATTAAATCAGTGTGTCACTGAGCACAGAGGACAGCAATATCTCACTTTTTCATAACTGCATTTATACAAGTGATTCAAATATTTATCGCTGCCCTTACCTCACAAGGCTGGCAGTCCTGCCCGCGAGGGCTGTGCAGGAGGAGGTTGGAAATGCCACAGGCCATCTGTGTTACATTTTGGAGACTTTATTGGAAACGATACGGGTCATATTTAAGTATTTCAGCCAGAAGATAAGTTTACTGTACTCTAGTGCTTATTAATGTTGAAAAATAAGCCTCTAAGGAAAGTACCAGATGAAGGAACACATGTCTAATGGAAGGGTGGTTTAGTAAAATCTCTATAACCTTCAGATTAATGTTCAGCTTCAGAGGAGAAAGTCAATAGGATAATGAATTAAATTGCTACAGGAATAGAATACAAATCAGGAAGAGGTGGAGGTGTTGTCATCCCTACAGAATAAGGAGACTATTCGCATGAGTAAATTAAAATTAGTGGGAGAGGAACATGTACAAGAGGGGCAAGAATGCACCCCTATCCACACCAATTACTACAGTGGATTTCAAATGAAATGTTATAATATACTGATATGCAGAAAAAGCAGAGTTATAGTCTAAAAAAAACCTGTTCATCAACACATACCCATTCTGTTTTCCTGGACCAAAGTCAATTTTATATTTTCAGCTAAATGGGTTTTCATTGCTGAAA